CATGCTGATTGTCAATGAAAAGTCACATGTGTGTATCCATTTTTTCAGTCATCAGCATGGATTTATTTGTTTATTTATTAATCAGCAGCAAGGATAAAGACTGCAGCCAAGACATCAGAAGGAGACTGAAACGCAGGATTGCTATGAAGGAACTAGAAAAGAAAATCCTCCAATGTAATTATGTGCATCTGGAGACAATGACAAAGATAATCCATACTATGGTATTTCTAATGGTTATGTATGGATGTGAAAGCTGGACAATGAAAAAATTTGACACAATAAAACTTGACTCATTTGGAATGTAATGTTGGAAAAGAGCTTCAAAGGTATCATAGACCACCAGAAGAATAAATAAACATGTTCCAGTTCAGATCAAGCATGAACTCTCACTAGAAGCTAAAATGACAAAACTGATGTATTGTACTTTGAACTTATTATGAGAAGACAAGGTTCACTGGGAAAGGCAATAATGCTACTAAAAGTGGGAAACAAAACATGAGATGGATTCACTAAATAAAGGAAATATTTAGTTCATAAGACCGGAGAAAGGATATTATGACAGAACTTTTTGGAGATCATTTTATAGAATCATTGTAACTTAGAAGTGACTGATGGCATGCAACACTGAGTGGATGTTATTCTCTGAAAGAAAAAGGTTAAATAAATAAAATAAATCCATTAAAAAGTCATCATAATAAGCCAGTACTTAGAGCAAGCCAATTTCAGTCAGTGGAAGTTACAGAAGAATTGACTCACTAAACCCCCATTGATTCAATGGGCCTACACTACTTGTGACCTAATACCAGATTTCAGCCCTTTTCACTCCTTCAGATTCCTCAAACTAGCATGTCTGCATTTTATAAAACTTGGTTACTTTGAATGCCATTGAAAAAAATAGCATTGTAGGAGTAATGCTTTGGCAAAAAATTGCATTGTAATATATAATGGTTCAAACGTTGTTTCATGTAGTTAGTTGCACTAGATTTGGTCTACTGAATCAGTGGGGAGTTAGCGAGTAAACTCCGTAAGTTCCACTGGTTGTGACTTAATACACTAAACTATGTTGTAACTAGAGTAGGTCTATTTGATTCACTGGAATTTATAGAGTTGACTCCACAACTTATGCTAAACAACAGGATTTCAGCCAATGTGCTTTACAGTTACTGTACTCTAGTTTAACACTCTTTACCACTGATCTGGAAGTAACTATTGAACTAAATTTCACTTTAATTGGATTTGTGACTGTCACACACACCCAGTTCCCCTGTTTGTTTTTCTAAACACCCAGGTTCACTTTCGGGCATGACATGTACTTTTCACCCTTTTTCACTGCCACCAGAGGATATATTCCTCTCTGTACCAAATATGACTATTAAATCAGTGTTGTCCAATATAACAATGTTTATTTATGGGTTCGTAGGTAAATCATATAAAGAAAATCATGGATGGTCTTTTATTATTCATTCAATAAACGTTGCTTTGATTACATTTATGTTTGCTTATGTAGATTCACTTTAATCAAGGTATTTATATATTCAGCTCTATTTATTTCTTAGCACTTTTAACTCTTTCCAATCTTAACCACATAAACTTTCCTTGTCCTATTCCTATCTCTTTCTCTATCTCTCTATTACTCTTCGCTCTAACACAACCTAGGCCCTAATGCCTAAACTGTCCTTAACTGTCTTTCTTTCCCCTTTTTTTCTTGGTTCCGCCCCTCCTGTCATATCATTGGCTCCTACATCAGAGCTCTGACCTGACTGACAAGAGTGTTCTGAGAGTTGTCCGTCACAGTGACCATTCTTTTTTGCTTCCATAATATACCCACTGGAGGAATCAACATGCCTCCTGGGTTCAGGCTATATGTATAGGCAAATAATTAGAAAGTTAGGTAGCCATTCTCAAATGCTATTTCATAATTTCTTACGCATCAGGAAAAAGTATCCTGTTCCTGCCCCGTAAATTCAGTAAAGTAACAGAACACTATTCTTCTTTCATATTTTTTAAGATATGTCTTGAGATTCATGACAGCCTATAAAAGCCAAACTAGATGTATATGGTAGAAGCAGGTCTCTGTGTTAGGACTGGGCTGCTGACTGCAAAATTTTTATAAATCAGGGATGAGTGCTAGAGAATGTCCATAGCACAGAACACTGCAGTTAGGCTTCCTGGCTTGAAACTGTATTTTTAGCTGTTTCTCTCCTGGTGGGATTCTGCGATAGGAAGTATGTAAATCCTCCTGTGAGAAAAACAGCACAATCAATCAAAACTAGAAGAAAGCATAGGTAGGAAAGGACTCAGCACCCCACTCGGATCCTATGCTTTATATTTTCCCTCCTACTTTTCCCCTAGAGTAATTCAGCCCATGTGATTATGCTGTTGTTGATCTTAACAGCACAATCCTACCTATGCATATTTATTCAAAATGTCATTTTTACTGGGTTGAATGGGAATTATTCCGAATCAGGTTACAGGAGAATTGCAGGCCTGACACACAGGCCAAAGCATGTCTTCTCAGAATTGAGTATGCTCCAGTTCTGTTGGTTTCTTCAGCTCAAAATATGTCAATCAGGTTACAAGGGAATTGCAGGCCTGACACACAGTCCAAAGCATGTCTTCTCAGAAGTATGTTCCAATTCTGTTGGTTTCTTCAGCTCAAAATATGTTCATCAGAAGATAATAATACACAAATTAGCAAATGAACGTAACACTAAAATGCAAAATAAAACAATGACCCTTACTGAAGTTATGTTCATTTATTTATATCACTGTGGAGTAAGGCAGAATGAACAGGTAAATATCCATACCATGGGATTAAGTTGCCTGCTCCTTAATTGTATCTCCCAGTGTAGCTCTGTTCGCCCATTCCAATAAAAACAGGAGTCCTGTCCTGTACTGCTTTAATGATTAGCTAATCTGTTGCATCATAAGCTTCCATGAAAGTAGGCTGTAGTCTACAGAAGCTCAAGCGACCATGTTTTTTAAGTACGGCAGAACTCTTCGTTGTTTTAATGAGCTTCTGCATGTTTAACACCCATTCAAAGCTTTAGGGGGCCAGTCCTTCATTTTGAAGAGCTGTCCTCATTTTTTGGTGACATGTAAGTGGCTACCTCCCGTTTAGTGAGTTTCCCTGGCTAAGCAGGGGAGGTAGAAGCATTAACTGGGAAATGTACCTAATCAGCCCTCTTTCACTGCGGAGTGGGGGGGCGATGGAGGAGTCATTTTGTAAGAAAATGGAGGAGTCATTTTGTAAGAAAAGAAGCAAAACACACTGAGTAACTACTGATAAATGGCAGAAAGCTACATATTAGGTATGTCAATTTTGTATGAATTTCAGATGTAAGTTCAGTCCCTAGAAGTAGGCATTCCAAAAGCCCTGTTGAGACTATTCCTTTGAAATAACTGACTATTGCCTAGCCAGGATATCACAAAATGACAATGGCCTATGCTTGTTTTCCTTCTAAGCATATTCATTTTCAGTAAACTGCGGAAAATACAAGGTATAGAGCAGTGGTTCCCAAACTTGGGTCCCCAGATCTTCCTGGATCAAAACTTCTTCACAACTAGGTGTGCTGGCCAGGATTTCTAGGAATTGTACTCCAGGAACATCTGGGGACCTAAGGTTGGGAATCACTGGGACAGAGTATTTCAGAAAGTTTTAAAGCACTATACCTTATTTGTTTGATTTATATCCCACTTTTATCTCAGTGATATGTCCCAATATGGCCACTTAGCCACAACCTTGTGCAATACAGAGAGCAGTAATGTATTTCCACTTAAATGATAGGAACAATATGTAATTGTGAATGTACTTGCATAAAGTCATTTAAATTTAATGCAAATGTAATGCAAATAAGTACTCTTCTTTGTGAAGAATGTCCTTTTTGATCTTTCTTGTCTTCCTTTCTGGTGATGCCAGGCAAGAACAAAACAAAAACAAAAAGATAAAAATGGTACAGCACCTTAAAGACTAACTGCTGTATTTTAATGTGAGGCTTCCTGGACAAGTCCACTTCTTCAGACATGTGAGATTTCATGGCAACTAATTATACAGTTACACTATGGCCCCAAAAGAAAGAGGCTGATTGTTCCCCAGGTGCAATTAGTTTATTATGTGGTATTTCACACCAGACAATGACCACTGAGCTCCTTACAGGAATGATTATTGAGTAAACAATAACTGGTGTCATCCTAGGCTATAGATAACAAAGGGGAACAGCATAGTAATAAGTATCAAGATTGAGTATCATAATCTCCAATGTGGCTTGTGAGATGGCACTAGGTAGTTAGTAACGAACTATCAGTGAGAATTACAGCAGATGGCTTATGAGTCCACTGAGATAGGTTCCAAACATATGTACATAATTTACCTCGTGTTTCTCTGTAGAATTTTGTTCCAAATATAATTAGATTTAACTGATAATTAAAACAAAAACAAAAACCACAAACTCTGTTATGTTCTAAAATTTCTGACCGAAAATAGAATTGAGCACACGCTCTACCCTAATTTACATCTTCGGAACGACTATTTCACATACTTTTAACTGTGTCATGACTAAGGGGGTGGCATTTATGGCAATTATGCCAGCTCAGTTCTTCTAAGGGCAACGAAAGAGCGTAAGAGCTGATGCGTGTAACTAGGAAATTCCGACAAGTTTCAGAGATGACGCGAGACCGGAAGAGCGACCGTGCTTCCCGAGCACAGTCAGCGGAGCTCCCACATCGCGCCTCGGAGGCAGCAACACAGAACTCACGTATCCGGAGTCCCGGACTACCAGCCTCTGCCCTCCCACGCCTCTCGTAACCAGATCCAAATCCCCCTCCCCTCGCATTGCGCTCCAGACTCCGACTCTTTACTACCTGCGGTGCAAGCTGATTGGCTCCTTCAGTCCCGCCTTCGGGAATGACGCAGCCCGCCAGGGTTTGACAGGCAGGTACAGCTCGAGCGCCGCCATGTTGGGAGCGGAAGCGGAGTGAGTGGCAGGACGGCGAGTCGGGCGCCGAGGTTGGACTGAGAGAGTCTGCCGGCTTCCCTTTTTTTGCCTGCCGTCCTCACCCTTCCCCCCCCCGCCTGAGGGGGGTTTCTTCACGTCGGCTTCCGTCCGGAGGAGAGTGAGCGGCGTTTCGGTCGCCTCCTCCCCTTCACTGGGGGAGGAGGAAGGATCCTGACGCTGAGTCGAAGTGATACTCTGAGGAAGAGCCGGAGGAGGAGGAAGAGGAGGAAGAAGAAGAAGAAGAAGAGGCGGCGGCGGCCCGAAGTTAAAGAGTGAAGATGCCGTTAGCGCAGCTGGCGGACCCCTGGCAGAAAATGGCTGTAGAGAGCGCGGCGGAGGGTCTGAATAGCTCCGAGGTAGGTGACTGACCTGGGCGCCCGTGGGAGGCTGCCCTGCCAGGCTTGCCGTCCTGCGGAGCCCTGCCTTTGGCACCCCCCTGACGCCTGAACCTCCTGGCCCGGCTAAGCCCGGGGCGGTGGGGCGGCAGGGAGAGAGGAAGGGAGGGAGGGACACAGTGTTAAAAGCTTGCTCCTTGCCTGGAAAGAAGACCGGCCCCTGGCTGCTCTCTTTCCGCCTCCTCGGACTGGCAGGCTCGCCGGAGTGTCGGGAAATAAAACTGCGGGCGTCCGGCAAGGCGCTGTCCTTGAGGCGAGGACAGGGAGGAAGCCTTGGCTACCTACGCGATCCGCTAAAAAAAGAAAGAAAGAAAGAAAAACTGGCCTGCTGTTTGCCCCACGGAGTTGCCACTAATTCCGCCGCTCTCCGCTTCCCTGGTTCGTCCAGTTACTCGGGATTACTTAAACGGGGTTAGCCGTTATCTCCAACTGCATAGAGACATCTCTTTCCCCTTGGGCCGTATGTAAATATACACACCTAACGAACTAAGGAAACGAATGCTAGTCCACCAAAACTTTATACTGCAATAAATGTATTAGGCTTTCAAAGCTCCCCTCCCCCAAAAGGCTTTTAAAATCTTGTTGCAAGAAACACAGCAGTACTTGGATATTGTTACTTTGTAAGTGCTCCTACCTCGATCCTCTTTTATCTGGCGTTGCTGGCAGGCAGGTGGAGACAGTCAAAAGGGTGACTTTGAGTCATTTTCTTTTTCCAGAATGTGTTCTACATCTACAGGATTCCACTCTGTCTTTGAAATATTTAAAAGGAACTCCACCTAAAGCAGGCAAAACAGTGAATGGACAAATCTTTTGTCTTGATCAGTTCAGAGAACAAAGTATGCTTTGATTGCAGAGTTTGTCTCTTCCTCTTCCGGTCTGTGCCATCTCTTTATACTAGTTTTAGGGACAAATCTCTTCCATTGACAGAACACTTTCCTGTTTCAGAGGCAGTGAGAATGAAAGAAATGTGTGCTCATGCCATAAAAAGAATTGGGTTGTTGTTGTTGTTTTTGGAGAAGTAGTTTTTTGGAGATCTCTTTTTTGCTTTGGAAATTAAGGAGAGTTGCTCTTTCGTTGATTCTCCTTGCCATATTATTATGATTATGATTATGTTTGGTTTGGTTGTGGTTGTTATTTAGTAGTAGTAGCAGTAGTAGTAGCAGCAGCAGCATGCTGACAAGTAATTTCTTTTCAAGGCTTTCTAGGTAGAGAATACACAGAGGTGATTTACCGTTCCCTTCTTCTGAGGATGTCCTGGGATTGTGCCACTTGCCTATGGCAACACAGGCTGGCTCTTCCCAAGGAGGCACAGTTGGGAATCAAACTCTGGCTTCTCAGCCAGGTACCTAAACCACTGAGCTATCGAGCCAGCTTTCCATAATGGTTTCTGCATGCCATAGTGGTTTTTGCAGAGACAGAAGATGATGATCTCCGCCTTTAATGTCTCTTAATGTCTGACAAAGTGGATATGTCCAGGAACACTTACATTAAAATATAATGATTAGTCTTTAAGGTGCCACATGTTTTTTTCTTTGTTTCGTTTCTTTGAATTTTCCTTGATATGCTTGCACAGACTAACACTGCTGCCTCTTCTAAATCCATCTTTAATGCTACCAATGGCTTTCAAGCTTATTTCAATTTCCTTTTTTCCATATGTTTCCTAGATAGTACTGGTGGGAACAGTGTTTGTCTGTCCATGATTGTTATCTAAATTTGGCTGAAAGAAGAGTCAAAAGTGTAAAGCCCCAGAATCTGCCAATAAACATTCCACTCCCCTTCTTCATAGGGGACCAAACCAAATACGGTATCTTTCCTGAGGTAAATAGCATCTTATTAAGGCGAGTGTGAAGGAAGACACTATCATACTGTTAGTGACTACAGGGTTGCAGCTTTTGTTCTCTTTAGCTAAGTCTGGCTACTTTAACAGCTTCAACATAAGTTTCTTCCTTCCTCCATATACCCTCACTTTTGCTTTGATGGTCAACTTCCTCCATACACAAGTCCTAAAAAGAGATGAAGAAATTTTATGACTTTTTTTCTCTTCAAAAGAGGAAGTGCTCACATCCTGCTTCCTCTGCAATGAAGGCCTCAGCAAGGAACTGGTGGTTTGAATTTTTACTCCCAGTTCTCATGCTCTTAGAGCTGACAAGTCTCTTTACATGGTCATAGCTATACTCTTCTGGTTGGATTAAGTTCAGGTAATGTAACTTGATAAATGACTTTAAGTGTGTACCTCTGACAGTTCCCTCAGATCAGATGCTTCATAAATTGGATTTCTTGGTGAGAATGAGCAGGTGTAAAGTTGTGATAGCTAAATCCATCTTCAAATAACTGAAATTTAGGTTTCCCATTTATAACACTTTAATTTGGACTAAACTGTCTTTGTTTCCCTCAGAGGCAAACATTACATATAAAACTTTTTAAAATCTTGCATAAAGACTGCACATGATGAAGCCCACTTTAAATAGAACAGCCACACTACAGAGAAATGAAAAATGTTTGTATATGACGTTATTCTGGAGCATTCTCTCAAACTACAGGGTGTACACTTACAAATGATTTGAAGAAATCTCAGAGACATGAGATAGTGAGATGAAACATTATCCTTCAAAGTACATTTGTTTTATCTCTGTTATTTCTTAAATCATCTTACTAGCTTTTATGGTGATAAAACTCTGCATTTTAAAAATTAAAAGTACGTTTTTACTAAGTCCTTGTATTTACATTTAATTATGAATTGATTTTTTTCTGTTAAAAGGCAGTTGAATGATAGTAATCGAGAAGTGCAGCATATGAGGGTTTCTCAAAAGTCAGAAAGGGTCCATGATGTGGAATTTGTATAAACATTTGCCTCTGCCCCACCCCCACCAAAAGGTTTCATTTCACATGCCTGGTCTAATGATAGTTGTGAGTTCAGTCACACAGTGGCATGTGTGCCAGAGGGGGAAATAACTGTGTAGTTGCTCTTATGTGCAGAATTCGGGCCTAAGTTTTATGAGGAAAGGTTGGAGAAACTGGATACAGCTAATCTGGAGAAGAGATTACTGAGGTTTTAAAATAATTATCATTTTCAGATATTGGATCAATTATCATATAGAACAGAGCAAATCTGTTTTCTCTTTTTTTAGAGAGTTGGATCTGAACTAGTGGATACAAGTGATAAAGATTTTGGACTTAAACCTTAGGAGAACCTCCTTGGGCTGCAGAAGGTTTGACAATAGAATAGTTTACCATGGAAGTTGGTGAGCTTTTCGTTAAAAGCAGTTTTAAGCAAGGGTCATGATGGCACCTGTTAGGAATGCTATAGTATGATTTCCTTTGTTACCAGTGAGATTAGACTAGATCAGTGGTTCTCAGCTTTGGGTCCCCAGATGTTCTTGGACTACAACTCTCAGAAATCCTTCCCAGCACAGCTAGTAGTAAAAACTTCTGTAAATTTTAATCCAAGAACATCTGGGGACCCCTATTCAGGAACCACTAGACTAAATGATCAAGAGCCTTCCAGCTTTATCATTCTCTAATCTTTCTGCCAGCTCCACCAATTGCTGAAAATGGCTAGGCTGATGGTATATGATATTGACCCAAAATACATATAAGCAATTTTCCACTTAGGGTGGTGTTCCACTAAATTGAAACATTCCTTAGTTTGACACTTGATTTTTAAAAATCAAATCGATTTACTTCACAATTTAAATAAAAATGGTTTTTAAAATTTGAATGTGAAAAAACCCCAGTTTTAAAAATTCAAATTTGATTTAAATCATATTGATTTAACTGGATGAGATGTTTGTAATAATGTTCCAGTTAAAAAGTCATTGTTTGGAATCCTGCTTTCATCCATAGAAATTAAACAAATCTCACTCTTCTGTCAGGTCACAATTCTGTGGTCTGCTTTCTGTACAAGACATTTGCAATGATGCTGAACTTTGATGTATATTTATGCATTCATGTATTCCAAGCTGTTTGCGGTGGCATTCTAATGGTTTGATAATTTATATATATATATATCTGGGATAAAGAAGGACTGTAGAGTATGCAGGCTGGGTGGATTTTCCTTTGTTTTTGTTTTGTTTGGTATGATGTGACATATTTATATATTTTTAATAAGAGATATTTAAGATATAGAAATGATAGCTAAAATTTGAAACCCAAATGCTGGCAGTTTGAAGAAGATAGTCTGAATCCAGAAAATGCTCTCTGTGTGGTTGTAACTATATAATGGAATGTATTAGACAATACAAGTTTTTAAATGATCTGTGATGAAATTTTTTACTACAGCTAAATGTGTCATAACGGGCACTGTTTAATGTATTATTGCCTGTCTAGCTGAAAATGCCTCTTAAGGTGGTGTTCAACATCTACAGTACTTGTATTTAAAATGGGCATATTTTAAAAATCTGCTACATAATAAATGACTATATTTTGTTATACTTAAGTAATATGTAGTTAATTGATCGAGTTTTAAGCATTGCTGTTTATCATTCTGTTCTTCATCTTTACTGTGCACTAATAAAACTTCGATATTTTTAAATAACTTCAGTGCTGTAGTTGTTAAGAGTTAATGGTTGTTGGGGGGTTTTCAGGCTCTTTGGCCGTGTTCTGAAGGTTGTTCTTCCTAACGTCTCGCCAGTCTCTGTGGCCGGCATCTTCAGAGGACAGCACTAGTTTGTACATTCATACATGTGCATACAAGCTGTTCAGAAGTTTCCATATCTTTCAGCATTGTAGATGGCAAAATCTCAAGGAAATCCTGCTCCTTTTCTTGTGAAAGCCTTTGGTGAATGATTATGGTTTTCTTTTATATTCAGTGGCTGCAATCAATCAATCAGTAATAGTAAGTCTCAACTGTAGTAGGCCCATTGAATCAGTGGGGACTTGGTGAGTCAGCTCCTCTGCATGTTCTGTTGATTCATTCAGTGGACCTACTCTAGTTGTGACTTACTGCTGGATTTCAGCCATTATTTGTTCCAGGCAAATAGCATTGTTTTATTGCTCAGTTGTGGTAAATATTTTTGTCCGTTGCTTTATTAATTTGCTTAAAACTATGTTTTTTTTTTCCAGAATGGACAACAAATTGTTGATGAACCTATGGGAGAAGAAGAAATAAATCCACAAACAGTAAGTAAAATTTCAGTGTTTACCGTACATATTATTTCAGCAATTTTAGATCATAAGGTTGGGCAAAGTGGAATTGATTCCTACAGTTTTGAAAGTAAAGAACTTTTATACAAAATGGTGATAAATAGTATTTCTTCACATAAGTTTATTAAAATTAATTTAGTAATATTATCAGTTATGCTTGCTTTTGAATAGAATGAGGCACTGGTGTTTGTTGAATATGTGAACCTCAGGCTGGACCTTGCGAATATTGTTCCCTGTTTTTTAAATACATACATTAACAGAAGTGCCACTACTGTGTTTCCCTGAAAATAAGACAGGGTCTTATATTAATTTTTTCCTTCAAAAAACACACACTAGGGATTATTTTCAGGAGATGTTTTATTTTACAGTCATGTCATCTTCTGGTTGTTGCATAATGCGGCACAATGGTGGAGGGTGGTGTTTCACTTAACTGGGGCTTATTTTTGAGGTAGGGCTTCTATTACGACATCCCAAAAAATTGTTCTAGGGCTTATTTTCAGGGTAGGTCTTATTTTCAGGGAAACAGGGTAGCTTGCCACAATCAAAAAGGAAAAGGAAACATTTTGCATTGCATGTTTGAGTGTGGACAGCTGCAGTCTGAACAAATGACTGATGTAGGCTGGAAACATCAATACATTCAGTTGGGAGGGAATTCCATCAAATTCACTTCTCCCATTTTCTGACATTTTCTGTCATGCCTAAAATTGATACAAGGACACTTTAAATATTTTTGGTGCTAAGTGAAGCCTTAGATTGATTGTTAAAAGTTGGGTTCTTCAAGCCCAGTGGTGAATTTTGTTATTTGAATAATTGGAAATTGAAAATGGTTAACTCTGGCTGGATAATAACCATTGTTGCTAAATTGCTTAATTTTTTATCATTCTTGTATTGTTTCAATAGAGCAAAATGGTAGATAAATGTTTCAACTTGCTGTTTTGAATTTTGAACATTATTTGCAGATGTTCTTCTGAGTGCTTATCATAGTATGACAGCATAACATTATCATATGAAGTGTGAAATTAAGTATTCATAGATATGCCAACAATACTACAACTGACTGATATGATCCACTTGTCATTAAAATGAGTTTGTACTTAAAATGATTTAAATAAATTGACTGGGACATCTCAACTGCTATAATTGTCAAAATTTGGGTGGGTGAGTGAGGTATGTGTAATTCTTGTTCACACTCCAGCTTTCCAAGCAATCTTTTGTCATTCAAATATTTTCACTGTACATTATTTCTACATCTGAAATAATTTGTTACAATTATTGAAGATTATTTAATTAAATGTTGAGTTTGCTGTTTCTGATCTTCCCAGATTATACCACTGATGTTTACTCATAATTTTGTAAAGACTTAGTAGAAAGGACCACTTGGAAGTTCTTTTTACTGGATCATACTGAGGGCTCATTCAGCCCAGTGTCCAGGTTCCTACAGTGAGGAGTCAGGTGTCTTTGAGAAAACTGGGTGGAGAGTTTGAAGCCAATAGATGACCTGGTTCTCTTCCCCCCCCCCCAGCAGTTTCCTCTGAAAATGATGGTTTCAGCTTAGCCAAACGTAGTTGATAGCTTCTGATAGACATATTTGCAGATAATGGAGCCAAGCTTCTTTGCAGTCATTCAAACTAGTTAACTAGCTTGAATTTAAAATGGATTTTAAATTTTAGGTGCCCTCCTGCCCTTGTTCTGTGCAATCTTTTGCTTAGTATTCTGTTAAGAACATAGAAATATTAACTATAAACATTGTATCTTGAGGGCACATGTTATATTCTTAAGTGTGTAGATGATCAATGAACATTAACAATTCCTTCTGTGCCTGGTAAATGCTAAAAAAAAGTCTTTGTTCACTGATACATCTTTGTAATTTCCTGTTATTAATTTTTTGTACCACCTAGTATATTAACAAGGTGTGCAGGATTGTCAAATTTCTCTTGTGTTTATTGGTAATTAGGGCATTCATTGGAAGGGTGGATAAAAACAATGCTTTTAAAAAATTGATCTAAATCACAATTTAAATTTTTAAAAATAATTTTTATTTAAATAATTTTAAAATGATTTTTTTAAAAAAATTGCATCAAATCCACCCTGTAATTGTTGGTAATATTTCTAGTATAGACACTGTTGAGTTTGTGTTGCTTTGTGACTGGCTAAGGACTGAGTACATAACTTTCTATGAATTCATTAGTGACCTTCAACAAATCAATTCTCAGTTGCACCCCAAATCTCCAGTTTGGGCTACAGGAAAAAAATATACTGACCCACTTTCAATAGTTGTTCATCGATATCCATAAAAGTATTTTTGAAGTGTTGAAATGCTAAATAAATGTGTATTCAATAACACTATAACATAGTTGCAAATCTTGCCACCCATGGGCTGCATGTAGCCCTATGGAGATCTTCTTCAGGCCCTTGGTCCCTGCCAGAGTCCTTCCTCTGGGAAACAAAAATTGCCCTTCCCACTGCTTGCCACTTCTATTACTGGAAGCTGGAAGACTTGAGAAAAAGCAGTTTTACATTAAAACAAGGCAAAGTTTCCCCAGTGTATTCTCCCCAACATTAAACTGAGTTTTTAAACCATCACTTTTTGGGGAGGGGGTGGTACAGCACATTGGTTTCTAGGCTGAAATTTGGCTATTGGATCCCTGGAATGTGTCTACTCTGCCATCCTGTGCCGATTGCATACCACATATGTTCATTAAATACTATGGCTCTTTATTTTTTGCTGCTTTGCAAAAGAAGAAGAAAATTCTTCCTTGTAACAGGAAATTTTTCAAGTGCTAGAACATCTGGTAGCAGTAAGAAATTTAGGGCTTGGTCCTTCCTGATTGCTTAGTAGGGAAAGTTAAATATATTCCTTTAACTATCTTTAACTTTTTGGCTATGCATGCTTGCTATCCTTTAAACAAGCATTTGTAAAAGTTGGAGGTGTGCTTATATTTGATTTTGTGTTTTTCTGTAGTTCCTTTGCACAAATGAGTGATATTTTGAGAGCTGCTCTGAAATGACACACACCTAATTCAAATTTAAATAAGATTTTAAGCCTTTATTTTGTTCATACTTATCAGTATACTGTACCAAGTTGTCCTGTTTTTGACAAAAATTATTCTTCAAAGTTTCAGTGAAATTATTTTCATTATGATGTAGGAAAATCCTATGCATTCATTTGGAAGTTCCATTGTGTTTGACAGGCCTTATTCTTATTTACTTATGCATTGTAGGAAGACAATTTTAGCAGCTTTTATTACAGTTAATGACTAAATTGATAAAGTTAATATTATGAGGTTAAAACCTAATTTTCATAGTTTTCTGAACTGAAATTTTATGAAGATTAGACATGTCATTTGTGGGGGTGGGAGTGTTTTGGACTACAAATCTTACAGTTCTTAATCTGCAAGGCCTACCAGACAGACACAGGTATCTACATATGCCTAAATGGGAGAAAGGCATGAGCTCTAGCATAAGCTTGACTCTATCTAACTTCCTTTTTAAAAAAAGGAAACTTCCAACAAGCACCAGAACTTTCTTTTTGACCAACAACAACAACAAAAAAAGTGCTTAGGCCACAGAAGCCCTCCAGCTTGCACCTTCCTCTTAGGTGAGCCACCTGTAGGTGTCTGTAAGTGGGACTTACAGAATTGAGGATTATGAGCTTTATAGTCTGACAACCTCGAATGACACATTCCTTGTGAAGATTCATTGTGTAGAGCTGCAGGCTTTTATTACTCAAATGCAAAGGCTTTATTTATTTTGCATCCCAAATCTAACCTGGTACTACAGTTGTGAACAATGGTGGAGAATGGGATAACTACTAAAGGTGGCAGATGCTGATAGGTAGTGAGCAGCAGTGAGGTCTTGGAAGACAAAGTTCTATTCTGTGTGGTCTTCGCTGCTTGTCAGCCTGCTGCCCATAGGTGTAGGATTTTGTCCTGTCTCAGTAACTGGGATTGAAAATCTGCTTTCTGGATTGGTGGTCTTTGTACATAGAATTAAGGAAGGTACTATTGTTTCATCATCTTACAATGTGAATTTTGTGGCCTGTTCAGTAAATGATATGGGAGGCTCTTTTGTGAGCGTCTGTGATTTTCAGTCCAGCAAGCTCTTCTTCTTTAACTACACAACTATTGGGGGGAGGGGAATAAATGCTTTGAGTAAACATTTTATGAATTTAACAAGTAATATTATTGAGCTAATAGTCTTTATTTTAGTACTTAGGAGTTTTTAAACTAAATTTTTAATCAGTAGGCTTCCATTTTGCAAGCCAACCTTGGATCCCCAGATGTTCCATGATTAAAACTACCAGAAACCTTTACCACTAGCTGTGCTGGCCAGGACTTCTGGATGCTGTAGAACATCTGGGGATGCAACGTTGAGAGTTACTGGGCTAGACCTTAGGGGAGGATGTGGTAAGTGTCCAGAACCCCTTAACAGATGCTTAGGTTCAAGCTCAAGTGGCAAAGGAATGAGGATGTGGGGTGCGCTTATCTGTAGTCCGCTGTAAACTCTAGTTTCCTCTCTGACCTTGTGGAAGCCATGGCAACCAGTAGAGTACCAGTCCCAACCCTGACCTAGAAGAGGCACTGGAGGCAGAAATTCTAGAAAGGACACCTGAGGTGGTAGCAGAAGAGACTTAGAGGTGTCAACTGTAGAAGCCCTTCCTGAAAGGAGTTGTGTGGCTTGGGGCTATACTGAAAACTGGGCACGAATCATGGGCAAAGACTGGATTTGATGGGGAGCTGGTGAATCTAACTTAGCTCCCCAGCAACCTGCTAGAATGGAGTGCTGTTGGTGCCCAAACTTTCCTTGTATCCTGTTCCCATACATTAATGAAATCCAGTCTAGCAGCTCTGGGAGTTTTCACTTTCTGGAAACCTTGTCTGAGGAGGGTCTCTGCAATGGCCCCAACCTTGAGCAAGGATGGCAGCACTCCTATCTGTAGAAATAGAAGTTTCCAAACATTTTTCCAATATGCTCCA